AAAAGAATATATAGTATGGTATCTATATAAATTGAAACAAATGCATTAAAAAGAACACGATTTGAATGCGTACGACTATACTACATGATTATAAAGTACACGACACACACAATAATCTGAAAAAATATCAACGAAATCAATAACTATTGAAAATCCATAATTTTTTATTATTTTCTTGGATTACGACATGTTTTCACATTGTGCCCTTTCTCGTTACATTTACTGCACCGATTTTTCGATCTATGTTCCCACCCCGACTTCAGTCGTTGCTTACGTGGTCGCCCAGGCCTAACTCTTTCATCCGGTGGATTTACTTGTCGCAACGTAGGCGGTGCCTCCAATGCGAAGGATTGGTCACCTCCTACTGGCATTACTGGTTCATCATATGTACTTAACATATTCGATGTTAAGTAGTGAACAGAGCAAAATGGAACGGGATCCAGATGAAGTGATTGTATCACACGAACCGCATGCACACAAGGGATTTCGTCAATCTGAAATCGATGACATGAGCAAGTCTTGGCGACTATATCCACTATAAAGGCTTGACCATAAGACAACACCTTGTATATACTATCGCTGGCTTTCTGCACCTGTATATAAAAATATAATAAAAATATATACACATATACACAATACACACACGTATGAAACACAATAAATGTTTATATTACAGATATATACTGGACATGTTCATAATTTATTTGATGAGCAAGTCTTACAGAGAATCTGGAGGCTAATTTGTAATTATTCTCCAACATATCATGCGGCTTCTTGGCAAGTGCAGTAAATGTGGACTTGGCTTCAGACCTATTCGCCACATTCCACCTTTGTTGCATGTCTCTAAGCCCTTCCAAAAGTGTTGTTATCGGGAGATCACGCACGGACCTCATCGCAGCATTTATTGATTCAGCAGCGTTAGATGTCATTGTGAAGTACCTATTACTAGGACAGTGTGCTCTTGCCCACTTGTGTACGCCAATCGTTTCCAAATATGTCACAACACTTGGATTCAACTTCTTTATCTCTGACATATGCCTCTCAAATTCCTCCACGGTATACGCTCTTGCTGCTGCGTGATAAGCTTCCTTTACTAACTGAGATTCAGTCCTATAACGCGTCTTCATCTTATTTGATATGTGATATGTACATAGACAATGCGCCGCATTGGGAAAGACCTATACAATTGACAAACAACAATATTGGTAAGTATAACAGTAACATCACCCAAAATACGTGCATATATACATACAATATACAAAACATATTCTAAACATATACACTTACTGTAGCGGCAGCGTGTTTGATGCTCTCGTGTCCATCTGAGACAATACACATCCCATCTCTTTCACCAACAACTAGTCTCAGCTTCGAAAAAAACCAGGTATATGACTGGTTATTCTCCGAGTCAACAACACAAAAAGCAAGCGGTAAAATGTGAAAATTCGCATCCTGGCAACATGCAGTTAACAAAATTCCTCCGTACGCAGATGTTAGAAAAGTGCCATCGACAACAATAATTGGTCGACAATGATTCCACCCCTTTATTGATGCATTAAGAGACATGAAAACGTATAGAAAATTCCGTTCAGATGTAGTACTCAACTTCAAAATGCTTTCTGGGTTCGAAACACGCACCTTCTCGAGATATTGATGTACGTATTCGTATGAATCATTTGGATTGCCTCTAACCTCATCCACAGCCTTGCGCTTCGAACGCCACGCTTTGTGGTATGACAAGTTTATCCCGAAACGATGTTGCATATCGTCGATGATATCACCGGGATTATATGAAGTTTTTGTATTAATGAACTTAGTCTTGATAAAACTACTAACTACATTTGAAGTAGCTTGCCGCTGGCCACTCATACGAACATCTAATGAACACCGATGATCAGTCCCGACAACTCTTATCTTAAATGTGCTCGATTGGGCAACACGCGACGCTTTCACAGACCACGTGCACTCATCAGACACACATTTCACGTAATATTGTTTTGTGCACGACTTCTCAACTTTAAATTGATATTGATTCCTTATGGCATGCATTGTCAGAAATCTCTGTAACATAGACTTATCTTTGAATAAAATACCAACAACGATATTAGATTCCACATTTGGCTCATCCAGCAATTCCATTTCGCTGTAAGGGAATATATTCTGTACATTTTCCGTACATGTTACAGAATCAACCATTTCAGCAGCCACTGTTCGTGCGAAATCCATGAAGTTCATTGTTTCATCTCCCTTATCTATATAATACTCGATATTCGTACGCCTCACAGGAGTTACACTAGTTTCTTTGCCCAAGTCATGGACACTACTGGCGTAGTTGGACGAGTTCTGGCCAGCCATTGGATTTGTGACGACCACGCATAGCGGGAAGTTCGTGTAGTCGGATTCATTCGCTTTCAATCGGACATAAAAATCCAGACTACTATCGTCATCAATGGGCATTGGTGGATATCTGTTCTTCAGTGTATACTTCAGTTCAATACCGGCCGATTGAGACGTAATTTTAAATTTCTCCCTTAATACATCACATAGCTCGGTGAATCTGCAAGTTTTACGAACTACAAGGCCCGATAGTTGAAAATTAACGTACTCATTCATAACCCATTCACCACTGTGATGTAGGACGATCATCATTTGTGCATCCATCTAGCTTTCAAACACAAAACAAAAAAACAAAAAAAAAAGGATATCAATATACAAATTTGATAAAAATATACTATAAATATACAGAGATCAAAACCAACTAGGGAAGAAACTTTTACCAGTTGTTGATTGGAATTTTCAGGACTTATATCATCAAGGTCGTTTTATGTTCCTGATCGAGGAGAGGGAAAGGAAAATATACGTTTTTTGGACAGAACAAAATCGATGTTTTTGCATATATTTTGAAGACGTTTTTTGAATTCAAAATATGTATATCGTCTTTGATGAGAACAACTTCCTACATAATAGGATATATTTACACTTTCCATAAAAATTTTCCATTTCTTCCCAATGAAAACGGTAATCGTTTTATTCCCTGAAATTAAGGAGATTTGGTGGACTTAATTCACAGTAACAGATATATTGCATTATCACAATTAAAATCCATGAAAGAGGTAAGTTTGCAAATTAATTTATACCCCTCGTATGTATGCAATAAATATATAATCACTGTGTAAATATAAAATTATCCCTAAAAATTTTGATAATTGGCCCGTTAGTAGCCCATTTATCACAAAGACCATTACAGTTATGGTTATGTCAACATATTTCTAGTCCCCTTAAATCATTAGTTTTTTTTAGCTTAGGCAATTTCGCTTCAAACCCACTAGGGCTAGCCTAAAATCGTGAAGGCTAGCTCATTTAACATCTCTAATTCTCTTTTTTATATAATTTTAAAATGTGAGGAGCTTAAATGACTGGCTCGCACGATTCGGAAGCTTACTTGGCTACATTACATGCTTTGTCTTTTGGTTCGGATAAAATATAATATAATTATATTTCAAAATAAATAGGTACTGACATACTATAATTACATTCCCTAATTGTCTAAAACAAAATACTTAGAGCATCTCCAATTGTATGTTAATTGCAGAATTGTAGATGCATTGGGACAAAAACCCTCCTCCAACGGTGACTTTTTAATTTATTCTTGTCATGATGTGGCATGAGAGAATATCAAAAATCGTAGAAGTCTGTCTACATTTGAAAGTCCTTCCAGAATGAATGACTTTTTTTTTTCTCCTTTTTACTTCTTTTGTTTTTAATTAAAATCTATTATTACGTAAAGAACACAAAAATACCAGATACAAAAAAATATACCAGATGAATTTGATAATAAAAATACCAAATGAATACAAAAAAAAAAGAAAAATAATAAATGATGAATACAAGTAAATAAAATCAGTTGTTAAAAAAATATCTGATACAAAAAAATAACAGATGAATACAAAAAAATACGAGATGAATATCAGTTGGGCTGTGGGTGGTAGCTCTTTAAAAATTAAATATACCTGATATAAAAAAACTTGATGAATATCAGTTGGGTTCTGGATGGTAGCTATTCAAAAAAATAAAACACGTATATAAACATTTACAGTGTTTAGACATCTATCACCGGAGAGTTACATATTAACATGACATTATATTCCTTCCACATAGACCAAAAGACCGTCTATTCAATTGTCAATCCACTCCAACTATTGGAGATGCTCTTAATACCATACTTAAATAAATTCAACCGAATCATTCCATTACACTCCTAATATATGTAATTCCATGCATACCAACATTATGAAGAGTTGATTCTTATGTGAAATATATGATTGTGATACCACGCTCAATTTTTTTGGAATTATGTGAAATCCGATCAATTAATAATGCTCAATTTTTTTGGTATTATGTGAAATCCGATCCAATCATTCCATATGATTGTTAAACATATATATATATAGAGAGAGCTTTTTAGTTATGTTTCATCTTTAGCTTTTCATTAATATATATCATTCCAAGATTATAATATATCATTAATATATATCATCCCCTTCATTTTGACGTCCCCTTCATTTCGATTATTTTAAAAAAAAATAAAAAAAATAAAAAAAATCAATTTACCATGACAACTGTTTTCAACACAATTGAAGAAATAACATCGGATAAAAAAAAATATTGAAAATACGCGTCTGTTGTGAGCATGTATGGTTCAAACATGACAAGAATCAACCTCAAAATCGTCTGACAATGAAGATTTTTGTTTTAGATGAAAAAGGTACAGTATTATTTTATTATTTTTCTGTTTCATGAGAAATTCTTTAAAAAAATTATCTTGTCTTGTCTAATAATACGGCTTTAATTATATTCTTATAAGGTGGAAAAATTCAAGCGATCTTTTCGAGATGACGCATCTCAAAATATGAAGATATTATAAAAGAAGGGTCATTTTACGTAATGAAAAATTTTGAAATACAAGAAAAGGTGATTACAGCCCCACCCGACATCGATAGATGTTAAAATTTCACGAGTTTACGTCGGTTAGATGCTCCGAAACTCTAGATATCCCTCACTACAAGTTCAATTTCGTAGAATTTAGCAAATTGAGGAGCAACTCTGACTACACAAGGCTCTTATGTGGTACGCAACTTCATTTTAACATCTATTAATTTTTTTTACATCCTAATATAATTATGATATACTTTGTTATTTGATTTAAACATAGATATCATTGTCGAGGTCATCAAAATTGATGAAGTCGTTAAGTATAAACGTGATGGTCATGAAACGACAAGGGTTAAGACATATCTGCGTAACTTGAGGTTAATATTATTTTTTATTTATACCTTTTTTTCTAGTCACATTTTTGTTACTTGCAATGTAAATATTTTTTATCCATGATTGTACAACTTGTATAAAATAATGGTTTTTTTTTCTAATACTGATTCCATTCTTGCGGCTCGTGCAGCTTCCATTCTTGGGTTAGTTTATCCCTCTTAATAAATGTGCTTTGGAAGTACCTATTGTATTCAGAGACACGTGTGCATTGAGGCTCCATTACTGGTGTTGTAGATTAAGTGCATAGAGAGTCTTATATGGCTTATGTTATTGAATTATATTGTTAGATATTCGGCTTACATATAGTTAGCTTATCTTATCTGACTTACACCTACGAATAAAATCGTTGAAGTAGTTAATGATTATATTATGTCAATGATACCTGGCGAAGAACGTGTTTATTTTATCTCCGACAGTATTTGCAAGACGTTTGTCGATTTAGAAAATCAGCATTCAATGTACACAACTGATTTTTTGAATGCAATAAAATTCTCTGGAATATGTAATCACATCTTAAGATTGAAAGTTGGTATTCCTGTAATGCTAATTCGAAACATGCATCAATCTTCAAGGTTGTGTAATGGCCTCAAGTGGGTGATAACTCGACCATTATTTTATTTTTCTGGCATTTATACATTCTTAAATCTTAACTAATTTATTATCTATCATTATTTTATTTTTACTTTTTAATTAGAAATAAGACCTGATAACTTTAATAAATAATTATTATTTATGTTATGCGTTGTGTAATGGCACCAAATTAGACTTCACTCGACTTGGAGATCGTGTTGTTGAGGCTAAGGTTCTATGAGGAAGAAATATTGGAAGCAAAGTACTTATTTCGCGGATGTTATTAAGTCCCCCTGATTTGAGATTGTCTTTCAAGTTTCAACGAAGACAATTTCCACTTATGGTTCATTTTGCAATGATTATTATAAAAGTCAAGGACATACATTGTCTAACGTCGGATTGAGCTTGCCTAATCTTGTATTCAGTCATGGTCAACTTTATGTTGCATTATCTAGAGTTAAAAGTAGGAGAGGTTTGAAAATTCTGTGTTGCGATAAGGATGAAAATATCGTAAATAAAACTATTAATGTTGTGTACAAAAAAAAATTTTAAATTTAGAAATAATATCGACTTTGGTATTTTCTTTTTAATTTTGCAATTTTATACAACAACATGTGTTTTTTCAATGATTTTATTTTTTATATTTTTTTTCAAACAACCTGTTGAAGGTAGGATCCGATCAACGGTTAAATAAGTGTTTAATATTGAAAAAAATAAGAAATAAAGATTATGTACGAGAAAAGTAAGTTATTTATACTAATCACGAGGCCGGCCTCTGATACTGAGGTCGGCACTTCAGTTACACTTGGAATATTCACGGATATTTACTACAGAGTAGAGCAAGTAATTGTAGAGAGAGAATTAGTTGGTAAGAGATTCAACAATCCTAATAAATGAGATTGGGTCTTTTATTTATAGTGTCTCCAGATTCGGCACTGTTCATGTACTGGTCACCGTGTCCCATCGCACAGTAGGTCTGAGAAACAAGTCGGCACCGCTCTGACAGATATTAAATGTGATTTGAGGTATCTTCAATGATACCTGTCAATAAATGCTCACACGTGGGGCATTTAATGCTGACAGACCTTTTGGTCGGGCTAGGCATTGTAGGAAGACTAGGCTGGCGCGTCCCATTGGCAATCATCAGCTGTCAAGTGGAAATATTATATTATTTTCAGGCCCTGGGTTCATACTGAGGCCGACTCCGAGGAATCTTCAAGTCGGACTTTCGACTTTAGTTCATCCCTTAGCCTCTGGGATGCAGTTTCTTTGCTCGGCACCATCTGAGCTTGGCATTCCCCGCTTAGCGGTCAAGGTGCCGATCTCAAGGATGATGCCATTTGGCGTCCTCGTTGACTTAGCTTCCCGATCAGCTCGGCACTTCACAGTCGCTCGGAGGCCGGTTCGGGTTTTGGGGTCGTCCTCTCTCGGTTCCTTGCCTGAAGAACTAGGAATTCTTGGTCAGCCCAACTCGGATATCAACATACAGGCCCCCGAGCTCGGATGGGAGGTCTTCAACATCTCTTCCGAGGTCGTGACTAGGAGATCTGGTCTGCGTTGGCCCTGTTGAGGTTGCCCTAGAATGGATTAACGGGTCGTGTTTTCACCCTCCACTTGCGAGGTCGGCACCTCTACTATACTCGGTAAAAATTGGCGAGCCCTTCGTGTATTGATGATGTAAGGTGAAACGACAGGCCATTTAATGCGGCATGTCCAAAATGCTTTACTGTCGGTTACCAAAATTCGTGCCGCTTTGATGACTATCCACATAGCGGACATGTGGCAGTCTCTCGTCCAAGTAGATGTAGCATTACAACCGTTCGATTCAAGCAGTACACCCTTTCAAATTTTGAATTTCAAAAGATGGGACACGTGTCACAATCCTGTTGGGTGAGGATGACTATATAAATGGGTACTTAGGTGATTTCTTAGGTTTTCTTCTACTTTCGCTATTCTGAGCAATTAAGTTTTCCAAGCGAGAGCCTTTTGAACTAATTCTCGAGCTTTTCCGGTGACATTACTCCGGTAATTTTCGTTTCCCTATTTAATCTTTTTCTATCCTTCCTTCACTATGTCTTCTTCTTCGAAATCCGTTACCGGTGTTAGCCCTTTCGACGAGAATACCGGCTCCTCCGGTGACGCGATGGCCAGAATCGAAAAATTGGTAATTTACTCGTTGACGGTGGCGGCGAACACCCTCCTCGAGGCGGTGTCTATTTTCATGGTTAGGACTAACTCGTCGGCGACTGAGACTGCTTTCTGCGACAGCAGTGGTGGGAGACCAGAAATTCCTCCATCTCCCTTGCGTGGGGATGACGGATTCAATTTGAACCACTCGGCCGAAGCCGGCGACGACGAGGATGTTAACGTTGATTTCCTAAATTCCGACCCTGACGCCGATGAAGATCTCGTCGACGAGACCCTTTAGGGAGGCACCAAGGGGCGGGAGGGTGTCCTGATGGTCCGCATAGATGAGGCCACCGACGCCGATCAACAATTAAATAAGTGTTTAATATTGGGAAAAATAAGAAATAAAGATGATGTACGAGAAAAGTAAGTTATTTATATTAACCACGAGGTCGGCACTTCAGTTACACTTGGAATATTTACGGATACTTACTACAGAGTAGAGGGAGTAATTGTAGAGAAAGAATTAGTTGGTGAGAGATTCAACACCCTAATAAATGAGATTGAGTCTTTTATTTATAGTGTCCAGATTCGGCACTGTTCATGTATTGTTCACTGTGTCCCGTCGCACAGTAGGTCTGAGGAACAGGTCAACGCCGCTCTGACAGATATTAAATGCGATTTGAGGTATCTTCAATGATTACCTGTCAGGCATTAAATGCTCACACGTGTGGCATTTAATGCTGACAGACCTTTTGGCCGGGCTAGGCATTGTAGGATGGTAGACTAGGCTGGCGCGTCCCATCGACAATCATCAGCTGCCAAGTGGCAATATTATATTATTTTCAGGTTATGCGTTCAATATTGAGGCCGACTCCGAGGAATCTTCAGGTTGGAATTTCGACTTCAGTTCATCCCTTAACCTCTGGGATTCTGTTTCTTTGCTCAGCACCCTATGAGGTCGGCATTCCCCGCTTAGCAGTCAAACTGCCGATCTGGTCAAGGTGTCAATCTCAGGGATGATGCCATTTGGCGTCCTCGTTGACTTAGCTTCCCAATCAGCTCGGCACTTCACAACTGCTCGGAGGCTGATTCCAGTTTTGGAGTCGTCCTCTCTCGGTTCCTTGCCCGAAGAACCGGGAATTCTTGGTCATCCCAACTCGGATATCAACACAACTCGTGTAGTACACGGGTGTCGTACTAGTCGCTCTTATATATGAATATAGAGTTTTCCGAACCTATGTGCTAACTTTGGTACTCCGTAATCCTGTGTATAAAATTCTGGTACTTCGACATATCAGTAGTATTAATTACTAGTAGTGCTACAACATTGTATAATATATGGGTGTCAATTGAAAATTTATACATAAAAGGTTAAAAAAATAAAAGTTTTTATTTAAACTATTGATATATTTTTAAAAAGCATATTTTAAAATTTATTTAAAATGATACTCATATTATCTGCAAGATTCGCTCATTGATATGGGATACCACACCACGTCGAGCAAACCCGATGAACCGCATGACCATGTCGGTCTGATCGGCTGGTCAAACAGGAGCACATGTAGGACGAGCAGAGTTCGAATGAAAGTACAAAACAAAGGGCCTACAGGTCAAAGGAGGCGTTGGAGGTCTTAAGTGACACCAACAGGTCGAGGTAGGGTCATCGGATGTCTTAGTATAAACTCGACCTGATAGTATGATGGTCATGATATCGACCTAAAGGACATGATGCGCGGGTTCAACATATGCAGTATTCTACCTCAGCAGGATTCGAGTTGGTCACACGATTAGACAGTCTAGTAAGCCAGACTAATGGATAAGAAATAATATCAATAAGATAAGGACCCCACGTGGATAATTGAGTTTGCATTTTCTTAGCTCTCTTATTTTGTTTGTTTTCTCATGTCTCTTGCTTATGTGTTTTATTCTTTTTATGCCTTTGACTCGATTCCATTGCATATCTATGTTCGTTTCTTGTCTTTTTTCTTTCACTCGTTGGGGTACGCAATGAGGGTATTGCGTTGTTTTAAGTGTGGGGGAGGTTTTTGGGAATCTTGCATGTTTATGTGGTGGGTCAGTCTAGTTTTTAGGTTTATTTCTCTTAGTTTTATTGTTAAATGGACAGGTTTTGTGTGTATGTGTTGCTTCTCTCGCATGAAGTCTAATGCTTGATCGATGAGTTGGGTAAACATGTTTATTTCATTTTCAATTGTCTTACTTTATGCCTTTCGATGAGTTGAACCCCGGTGACTCTAAGTCGATTGAAGATTTGTTGATGTGGGACACATAATTTAGAGTCACGGCCTTGTTTTGTTCTTTGTAATTCCTGATTGGTCAATACTTTGAACTTGCCTTCTTTGAGGTTTCTTGTGTAAAAGCTCATGTTTTAGTGTATTCTCGTTATTACACTTCATGATGTATTGCTTCGATTGTATATTGATTGTATTCACATTGTTGTGTTGATTGGTTTGCCTCTCTCTATTAAAAAAAGAATAAAAAACAATAAATGTGAGTTCGCAAGGAAGTACGGGCTAGACTCTTCTTATTCCGATTCACTTCGTGGAATGTGATAATGAGCCCGAAAAACCGGTCTAGGAGAGTCGAGGAAACCCCTCGAGGTTACACCTAGATAATAATTTTCTGGAAATCTCGTTTGGAAAAAGAAGCTCACGAAAAAAGCTGGTCGAATTAAATGAGTTCATGAGTGTTGAAAGGATTAGACTCCGGTTGACCCAGTTAGTCTCCTTCTAGATGGATCGAGTTAATGAGTACGGGAAGCCGGCCTAGGAGACTCGGGGATGAACCCCTAGATTAAACCTAGGTAATAATCGTCTTAACGACTCTCGTTTGAAAAAATTGACTCATGTAAAAAAAAAAAAAGAAAAAAAATGAATAAAGAGGGGAAACTTGGTCTTGTACCATTGATCTTATTGTTTATGTTGGATTTGGCTTGCAGCCCCTTGGTCATGTTGAGAATATTGGTATTGAGGACCGAGAGTATACGTATGATGCATGGGTAGATTTGTAAAAGTTGGCTTGTAATCGATCATGTGTGGAAGAGCATTGGACATGTTTGATTTTGTATGATTCGAGATTGTGAGGAACATATTTTTAAGTTGAATATTGACTATAAGAATCCCGGGGCAAAATGAGATTGACATACTTTAGGACATGATAACGAGTAAGCAAATTTATCTTTTAGAAAGGTTAGCGAGATTGTTTGCTTGAGGACAAGCAAATGGCTAAGTGTGAGGGAGTTGTATTGTATGTTTTTGTTGTTATTTTGTATGTTCGTATGTGTTTATTTGTATTCGTTTTAGTTTATTTTAGGTTGTCCTGGTCAATTAAGTCGTTTTTGCTCGTTTTTGTGTTTTCGTGTCGTTTTTGTGTCTTGTGCCTTTTTTTTTCTCTTTTGATCCTTGATATTGTAGGGAAATTGCATTCCGAAGAGTTGCCCGAAAAATCCCGTCAATTTCTGATGTAAAGCGTGTTGTTGCCGAGACCCGTGTGGGCCCGAGAGACCCGGGCACCCTAGGACATTCCACGCTCGCCCGCGGCACTGGCCATAGGTTATCTCGAGACCCGTCTGCACGTCCACATGCCCGCACATTCGCGACCACGCGAGCTAGCCTGCAACCTCGCGAATGCCGTGCCCGCACACGTGACCACGAAAGCTCGCCCGCAATCTTGCGAATATCGCGCCCGCACACCCGCACGCCCGAGAAGCCCCACGCTCACCCGAGATTCGCCTAGCGCTAGCACACGAGAAGACCCGTGCTCGCCAGCGCGCCTGCACGACACTCGCCCGCGCGTCTGCCAGGTGAATGCATAGCACTCGCACGTGCCAGCCCGAGCACTCGCCTAGTTATCTGCCCAGCCACCTAGCACTCGCCCGAGACACGCCCCGCTGCAACCCGAGAACTCGCCCAACAAGCTTTTAGGCGGAATTTGGCCCACATTTCCAAATGGGGGAGTTATTCTTACTAAATGTGCGTGTTTTGGGTGTGTGTTTAAGGTGTGGGTATAAATACATTACTTCCTTTGTATTTTGGAAACCAAGCTGTCAATTTTTAGTTTCCCACTTTGGGAATAGGTCTTTTTTTATTTTTCTCTTTATCTTTGTGTTGGGAGCCCCATGACTCATATTTTTCGGCGACTTCTTTTTTATGCAAGTTTTAAGCCTTTTCCTTCGATTCTCTACAAACATGCAATAGGAGAGTGAGTACTTAGTTTTAAGATTCATTACTTCGTTTCTACTTATGAAGTTTTTCAAGGTAAATTTGGTGTTTTGTTAGTTGAATGAAGCAAAGTTTGGATCTTTTTATTTTCATTGTTTGTCTAAGTGATTTAAGAGTTAATACGTGCTTATCTTGTGTTAAAGGTTGTTACTTTGTTCAAAGCTTAATCATTTAGGTTAGAAGTGTAGTGCCCCATTTGTATATTCGAGTTTCTCGTATTTTTTTTTAGTTATTGGCATTATATTTTTATTTCATTAATTGCTAAGCATATATCGTTTAAACTTATTATAATTAATTGGATGTTATTGTCTAATTAATTTAATAAGTCGTATATTTCTGTTCGTCGTCAATCGGTTATTAAATCGATATCTTTTGATTTTCTCGAATCGTATCCAAGCCGTTTTTTCGAGAGAGTCTTTAGTTCGATATTCGACCCTTGTGGGTGGATGTGATCGAGCAAATATATGGGATCGGAGTCTTTTTCATTCAGCGCAGATAAGGTACTGACCATCTAATGATAAAAAAATATCGGGAATATTTTCAGCCCTTCGAGATTATTTCCAGCCCAATGGTAGTTTTATTTTGGGAATTTTTCATATATACTTACAGATTTTTAGATAATTGCAATATTACCATCCATACCAATTAAATTGTGTATATACCTAAAAGATAAATATTAATTATAATCATGCCTAAATCAGTTACAAGGTAAGTGGAACAACCTTCCATGTTCCTAGCGCGTAATTTCAGGAAATCGACAAAGAGTACGAAATTTCACTGCAAATATACTGTACATATACCCGTCGAAACGCCTTCCTGTTAATGTCATGAGAAAATATACCGAGAATATACTGATAATATACCGTCAAACGTCTTCCTGTAAATGCCATGAGAAAATATACCGAAAAGATATTGATAATATACCGAAAATTTTTAACTATTACATACTATCGAACGTCTTCCTATTAATGTCATGAGAAAAAATACTGAAAATATACCGAGTATAAACCATACATATACAAAAAAAAAATCATCAGTTTATGCTTTGTCAATATAAACCATACATACAAATAAGGTAGCCCTTATATTATACAGAACATATACCCTATATATACATAACATATACCCGATTAATTCATGGCCCCCACCCACAGTCTCCAATTTCCAGTTTTTTCTTCCATCGTCTCGAACTCTTCTGCTTCACCACCTCCATCGCATACTCCACTTGGAACAGCGGCCCCGCCGGCAACCACGTCGTCTCGTCGGTGTCGTATTGATTCCTGAACATTTTGTAGCGGATTTTCGAAATTCCCGAGATGGGTGCAGCGATTTATGTCTGCCTTTCTCGAAAATCCCGGCAGTGGAGGCTCGTCGGCGACGGCTCGTCTCTTGGCTTCAGACTTGATCGAACGTCGCCCGAGGGAGAAGGAGTTGCTATTGTTCGGGACCCCTGGTTCTCCCTTGCTGCACGGCGGTCGGAACTCGCGGCTTCACGGCTATGGCCATGGTTGATCGGACAAGAATCTGATGAAGACGTCGCGCGGCTATGGTGGATCGACGAAGAGGGTTGAGAAAATCTTTTCTCTAAAATTCTGATGATGATCGATCAATTAATTAGACAAAGGGTTTTATGAGATTTTGAGCGAAATTGATCGACGAGGAAGAAGAAGGATTCTGAAATTTGGGGCAAATTATAGAAGAAGGAGATGAGAGGGAGAGAGAAGAAGAAGACGAATAGAGAGAGGGAGAGAGAGAGAAAGCGTGTGATAATTATAGATCCCACTAAATCTGCTTTTACCATATTTCAATAATCTAGTATGTTTATAAATAAATATGATAGTTTTAGTTAATTTGCAAATAAATATATATGAGTTATAATTATGTAATAAAAATGTTAAGATGTAGTGGATGGTGTAATTTCCTCTTTTATTTTCGGCCCAAATAGTTGGCAAATCCTTTCGGCCCTTATGATACTAGTACGCTACCCGCGCATTGCGCGAGCTTGATATTAAAAATGATGGGAATGAATGATAATTAATAGAAAAATATTTTAAAAAAACATCTATTGATATAACGTAGACTAATTTTTTTACTAATCCAATAAATATACTTCCACAAATATAACATTAATATAGCATTAATAGTAGATGAGTTGTGTTCATTATCACCAACAGTAATAACAATAATTAGACAACATGGATTCGTGAGTATAGAAACAATAACAACGTATAATTGTTGTAACTAAAAAACTCATTATTTTTTCTTAAAATTTTTAAAATTAAATTCATAAGCTTACAAAAAAATGTGATATACTATGAAAAAAATTATTTGTCACACTAATGACACTCCTTCAGAATTTTTCATAAAAATGTCTACGTGATAACATAATTCCATAGGTACAAAAAATAAAGTCATAATTACTATTCTACAAATAAAGTAATATATTAATAATTAACGTTAACATGTACGAAGATGAGTAAATTAAAATTTATAAATATAAATTAAGTACTTAAGAAAAAAATAAAAATGACTTCTATCCGCATGTATTTAATTTTAAATTAGGTCCACATATTTTTTACTTTTTTATTAACAAAATAAATATCAACATTTTAATTTTTTTGCAAAATAAGTGCGATGGTGATTAGAGAATGACATGGAAGATTGATCATTTTTCGTAAATTTATAAATAGACCAAGTAATTGCACAAATCAATGGGATTACAATTTAGTGTAATTTTTAGAAACGCACGTTGACAAAATTTTTGTAAAGTAATAAGAAAAATACATTTAAATTATATTATATAATATTAAAAAAACATTATTGTGAGATTAACATTGTGATAGATGATAAGGAAAAAGTAGTTAATGCATTATAATAAGTTCTGTTTAACTTTATCTACTACAACATTCAGTTGCAATAATATGCTTCTATTAAGAAAAATTAAACGGTAACTGACACATTATGCTATTTTTATTCATAAACAACATTATTTTGTATTTATTAAAAAAAATAAGGGAGGTCAATATTCACCAACTTTTACATAACCTCAAATTTAAGCTCAATTAAAATAAATGAAACAAATAATTTTCGGATCAAAATATTCAGTCAATAGTATCATTTCGTCTTCATAGTCAAAACTACATTATCACTTTTTATCTCTCTTCTTGTTGTTGAAATTCTCACTCTTTCTGTTATCATTTTCTAATTTTTTTCATTTCACAATATTCTTATATTGCTTACCCATAAATGAAACTAAATTAGATGCTATGTCCGAACACTAAATCAATTACTTTTATGTTGTATACAAAATATTAAAATAAATGTTCACCTCATTGTACAAAATACAAATTTATGTCCGAACACTAAATCAATTATTTTTATGTTGTACACAAACTATGTAAATAAATGTTCACCTCATTGTACAAAATACAAATTTATGTTTATATCTATTGAATTATTTTTTATTATATACTTTAAAGTTGTAATTTTTATTTTCATAATATTGTATTAAGAAAATAACCAAGATGATCACCGACAATGTTAGATCAATAGCTAAAACTTATTTTTCATGAAATTTAAGATAATTGTGATTAACTTATTATTTAGAAATACAAAATTATTTCCAAATATCAATAATAAAAAATTTAATAATAATAATAATAATAATAATAATAATAATAATAATAATAATAATAATAATAATATAAGTCTAAAACTAAAAAGTAAAATTGACAATTGTGATATATGATGAAGAAAAAATAGTTGTTGCATTCGTAGTAAGTTGTAGGACTTTATATGTTGCAACGTTTCGATAAAGATGATACATTATCGTCATTCTTAAGAAAACAATATACGATATACAAATAAAACATTAACAATGAAATTAACTTGCTCTGCCTCAGAAATTATAGTTCTATACTTTTGGACCAATAAAAAAAATTAATGAAGGCGAAAACTTTATGCGCGCATGTGTTTAAGTGGATTCTTCAATATTTTCATGAATAAAATAAATTATACCAACTAAAAATAATAAAATACCAAAAACAACATGAAACGACCTAATATATAGTTGAAAATTCGTTGAGAAATGAACTATATATATGCATTTTTCTTTTCAGCCTTCACAATCAAATCCATGAGTTGTCTCTTTGAAATGATGTCATATCTCTTTTTTTGTACGCTATCATTTGTGGATTTTGTTATCTTTTTATAATATTAGTGATAAAATAATAGTCTATTATTTATCTATAAAGTACAGTCAACTTCATGACATTTTCGAATTCTAAGATGTCTTAGTTTTCTTTTCTCTTGTTTTCCTTGTTTTCATATGCATGGTTTATTAGTAAAAGAAACTTCAATCCATATAGTTCTTGAATTTTCTTTTACCCAAGTAAAGTCTATTCAACATTTTCGAGATCGATTTTATATGGATATGAAAGATCATCCCCAAAAGCTATAGATGATATTTACAAAAAAAAAAAAACATTTTTTTAGTTGAATAAATTGTATTACTTATGATAAATATAATCTCATTATTTGTTACCTCTCTCTATTTGTATTGCATTTGTTACTTAAAAAAATATATTATAAAATAAAATAAACAAAAGTATGAAATTTAGAAGTCTAAGTTCACATTTTTATTAAAAAAGAATGACACGTTGACTTGACTAAACCTTACTCCAGCTCACATAAGAGTTTGTGAATGATTAGACTTTTTACAATTTAAATTAAAAGATATTGTTTAGGAATGAGGTACTCAATAAAAATAATTTAATGGTTACTTGTATTTCTTAGAATTACATAGAGATATAAAATAATATAATATTAGATTAATAAGAGATGATTACATATTTTATTAATGTGTACGTAAATTCCATCATATTAGAGTATATGTGTCAAACATGACATGGTGCTACTATTAGAGCATCTCCGATGCTCCACTTTGAACATTAATTAAATTTGAACACATGTCAAATGATGAATGGAATGTAAATCCATATAATACGAATGTCAAAAGAGAAGACTTTAATTTGAAATGCACATCTCCAATGCATCCCTTTCAAAAGCTTAAAATAGGTTAGATTTTTTATGAGTTGGCTTTCAAACACTCTTTGGAAAACTAGAAAGTGGGCTTCACACTTTGGATATTTATTGTCTCCACGTCAGCATAAAAGAGTCCATAACATTATGGATTGGAGATTAATTTTTGTAATCACTTTATAACTTGATGATGTGGCTAACATTTTATTAAGTCAACATCTCACATTGGAGATGCTCTTAGATATTTATATGTTAACATTGAACATGTGTATGTTAAAATAAACAACATAGAATTATAAATTGACATATCAAATCTAAAAGTTTATCTATATATATGCAATATAGATACTGAATTAAAAACTATAAAATTATTTATTTATTATATTACATGCAGATATTGTATTAGTTATTATTTTTTCTATTTTACCTTGAAATATTCCGAATATAACGGAAAAAATTAATATTGTGTTTGATGTTCAAAAATAAATAAAAACATATATTAAAATGAATGATTTTTAAATAAAAAAATTTACTTTAAAAAATATTTTAATGATTAATTAAATGAGATTGATAATTTATTTTTATAAGAAAAAATATAATATATAAGGAAAAGAACTCATACTCACAAATGGGAAGAGAGACAAATAATAAGTGGGATATTGGAATAAGAATTCATAATAAATAATTATGTATAGTATTAAATATTATTTTTTACAAATAATTATGTCACTCACAAGGCATAAAAATATTTAACTGAAATTTGTACAATAATTGATTATGACTAAAATAAGTATTTATTTATAACAAATAATTATGATATTGTTTGAATGATAAATAATACACATAAATTAACAAAATTCATTTCATGGTCATATAAGTAGTTGAAGCATTTATTTAGCCAAGAGAAATTAGAGTGCAAATTCCAATACAATTATGAATACAAATTATTTATTCATATGTAACAAATATTTTTTTATTGATAAATCATACATAGAAATTGATAAAAATTTATTTCAATGTAGTAAATGTAGTTTTTGATGAAAATTTTACATAAAAGTTGGTAAAATTTATTTCTAGTAATTAATATAGTTTTGGAGGGAAAATTCCAGCTGCTTCAGTTTCATATATATATATAGATTATTTGTGGCCCAATGTTTTTAAGGAAAATGCTACAATCCCGTTACGGAACCATTCCGTTGGGATTGTAACCGTTAGATCATCAAGTAACCGTCAATGATAATTGATCTAACGGTTACAAATCCCAACGGAATGGTTCCATAACGGGATTGTAGCCTTACCCTGTTTTTAATATTAACCTTAGGTACATTTAGAATTAAATGTCCCAACCTTTTATTTCTTTCTTTTCCTCGCGTGCACGAGACCGGGTCATCTCCTTCACCATCTCAGAAACTGTTCGGATTTCGTGAGATTTTCTCCCACGTTCCACTCTCTCTCGTCTCTTATATCTCGGCAGAGGAAATTTTCCTTCATCAGATTCTATTCCCTCATCTTCCACGCGGCAGCTTNGAAGATCCTTTCACCGTCTGTTTGTCGCTCCAGTCCGGTGAGAGTCCTGCCGCCGGCGTCCTTACGAGCAGCTCCGTCAACCTCCATCCTTCGCACATAGCAGCCCGACCACGTGACCTTGTCACAGCAAACCAATTGCAGCAGGCCTGTCTTCCCCGCGAAACCATCACCGCTGTTTTCATAGTCGTATTTATTTTCTGGTCGGATTATTTCATGCTCGCTAAATTGATATTTGTCGAATGGTCGGTTTACGTATCGGTTCGTATATTTCGATTTGTTCGTTTAGTCTTTCGTGAATTTTATCGTGGAATTGAACTCTCGATTATGAAAATCAAGTCCTGTTCCTGCTGTGTATTATTCTCGTGTAAATTCTTTCGTTTATTAGTTTCCCAGCCGTCGTCGTTGCCGTTCGTTATTTTCGAGCCATTTTGTCGTTTCGTTTTCTGAGACAAAAACCCGGTTTTATAAAACCTTCGAATTCTGAATTTATTGTTCTTNTGTTTATCGCATAATTTGTTTCGTACTTTGAGGTGAAAAAATTAACTTATTATTTGACAGTTTGAAAAACTAAATTTATCTTTAGAGTGGGGTGAAAATATATATTTCTTCGTATTTCATTTACATCTGTGCATGTGTATTGCACATTCTAAATTTTAATATTACATTTTTTATCAATTTGTTTAATGGCCAAGCAAAGCTTCAACTTTTACTTTTAATATAAGGGAAAATTACATACATGAATCCCCTTATGTATATATTTACATATATACGGCTCGTACAAAAATTAAGCAAAAGAAGATTAGTTTGTGATTTATATTTCATATATACGAGATTGAGATTACGATTCATATTACCTTATCCTTTTCTCTCTCCATAAAAAAGATCATGGCATCAAGAGACTGAAATCAACGCATACAAAACAGAATTTCTCCCCCCCAAAAAAAAGAAAGAAAGAAAGAAACATGCCGATTATGATTCCTGTAATTCAGGTAATCACGAATTCAGATTTCGAAACGGGAATTACAATTGAACGAGTTCTTGCAGTCCGAAAAAAAAAATAAAAATAAAAATAAAAATAAAGCACACCGATTAGTTGAAAAAAAATTCGATTGTCTTGTTTGTGAAATTGATCATGAAATAGCCGCTGAGCCAAAACTCTTGAAGGTATACTCATGTTTATTTATTTTTTTAGTGATCAATTACGAAATTATAGTGTGTTTTTATTTTTTATTTTTTTTTAATTTGAGCTTTCATTGTGTTGCATTGATTCATAATCTGGTTATGGTTCATGAACACTGAGGTATATTCATGTTTAATCTATATTTTTATGGTGATCAGGTACGAGATTATTGGGTGGTTTTAATTTTTATAGCAGCATTAGCCATTAGGACGTTTGGACACGGCACGAGAAGATTCGGAAGACGATGGTTTTTACAGATGATTCGCCGAACATTCTGTAGATACTATGTTGAAAACAGTAAAATATACGGAAGATAAACTGAAATTAAACAACTTCAGATCAGTTGGAGTTGTGGTCGAAGGATAAAAGTATTAATGTGTCTCAGTTAAATCGTGGAATCATTGTATAACTATTATTGTTGTCGATGGTACTTAGTTCTGCGTATGGAAGTACGACAAGACCGGGATTTCAGAAGGAATGTGCTTTGGCAGTGGTGAGATGGGCTCTGTTTACGGCCACGTAACTGTGACGGGGGGGATTTCAGTTCGGATTATCTGAGTTTTGACACTGATTTGATGTTTGTCTGAGAAAGCAAATATTTGTCAAATAAAATCAATATATTCGTCAATGGCTTGTGTGTGATAATATTTTGTTTACCTATCGTTTATGTTCAGTATAGCTTATTATGCTTATGTGTGATCTGATATTTTTTTTTTTTTGTTTATTTAACGTTTATGTTCTATATATAAAAATGATGGAGATAAATAAACAAATACAAGTAATATACTTCAGTTTACAAAAGTATATATCATGTTTCAAGATATACGTAATATATACTATTTATTTATATGTTAGCAAACATATCTTAAAAGATATGTTAGCAAACAAATAGTATATATTATGAGATTGAATTGTATGTTATGTTTTATCTCGTTTGTGTTGTTTATATGTTGTTTATCTTATGTATAACTCTACGGATAATTTACATGTTGTTTATCTTATGTATATATACAGTATATCTGAACATATTTTCACGATCAACTTTCCACTAACTCAATTTTCTTAGATTACACGGACGATGCTGACCTGGATCATGTACATTAGATCCTGGTTGTCGAGTATCGGGCGAATCGAGGTCGAGGTTTTGTTCGGCTTAAGAAAATCTTGGTTCTTATGTTTGATGATGACAAAGACAGAGTTTAGTAGATATCTTGAAAATTTTGCTATGAAACAACATAAATGTATACTAAAAATAAACATTAGATAAACATGTGCATAATCAAACAAGTTTTAGAATATAAAGTTGGTCAATTTGCTATAAAACAACTTATATACTAAAAATAAACATTAGATATACATGTGGTTCTTCATACAACAACAATGTATACTAAAAATAAACATTAGATAAACATNACTGCCAGTCTAGACTGTGAACAAATAATTTAGTCTTACAAGGAACCAATAGGTGACCTTTCTGTTCGAGACACCACGAACCACACTATCTCAATGTAAGACAAGGAGTATGATTGCATAAATAAATAAACTGCAAGCATATGTACTTTGACCGTAACATGATTGCCAGATCAAAATGAAATTGTTCATATCTGAAAGCCAAGCTTTTACAGCATATCCAACAACTTGATCTCCAAACAAACGTGCAAATCCTTTCCCTTTTTCCCCCTTTTTTTTCTGCCCCCCTTACCCGGGAGAGATCATCATGTTGGCCCGTGCCTGACCCGCATAGCTGCACTTCTTGTCATACCCAGCGTTCCCATAACAACAATCTACATCGAGTAGAAATCCAGAATTTAGCCCGCCGCCGTGCGCCAACCGCGAGAAAAAAAAAATTGCATAGAGACTTGGAAGAAGATCAATTTCACTGCCATGGAGGTCTTTTATTTTTATTGTTTGAATGAGAGATGAAGTTTTTTTGGAGAGGGATGTTCTATGCACTAGATTCGAGATTTGGAGAGAGATGCAAATTTTCAGTTCTTTTTTTTGGACGGTTGAGTGTAAAGATGGAGAGTAAATCACATTTTCCGATAATCTTGTAAGAGGAGTTTATTTGTGTGTAATTTTTTTTTTTTTAAATTGCCACCTGATATAGTCACATAAGGATAACTCGGTCCATGAGGCTTTTTACTCGACCGGAGAGCCACTTGAACGACTCACGTCGAGATGACTCGTCGACATGCTCAAGTCGACTCCCCTGAAGTCGACTTTACCGAAAACGGTAGAAGAGGCGGAAATTGTTCTAGTCGACTCTCACAAGTCGACTTCCAGCTATCGACTTCTGCTAGTCGACCTTATACCAGAAGGACATCAAGAATGCAACTCATAACCATCCAGATACTCTAGGACGACTTCCACTAGTCGACTTCCTCATGACGACTCTACGAGACGACCACCGCAGGGAGTTAAACCAGGTGTAACCTCCGAAACCGTGTATATTCGTAAGTCGACCTCCTAATTCTCGAGGTCGACTCTGTATATCTCAAAGATCAAAGGGATGAAGACGATTCACCACACTTGCAACATAACCAAAGCTCTACGTATTACCAAGGATAAGAAGGAATCTTGCGATGACTCAGCAACAAAGAGGAGACGAATCGACAGGGGCATTTTGGACCTTCCAGGTCCACCGACTTGGGCATTTTGGGCACTTCAAGTAAGTATTCACTCCTATATAAAGGAGGCGAGGTAACCCAAACCCTAACTCTCATTCACTCCACTCTCCCCCATAGCTGCTGCGCAGCCTCTCTTCATCACTCACATACTGACTTGAGCGTCGGAGGCTCTACGCCGGAAACACCTCCGGCGTTGAGTTTTTGCAGGTATTCTTGCGGTCTAGCAACGGTTTTGAGACGGTTCAAGCAGATCTGAGCTCATAACCACCGGTTTACTCCAGATCTGGAAGTAGACCCATCATTTGGCGCCGTCTGTGGGGAGTTCTTAAAGGAAGGAAGAGCTTCACACCCAGCTCCGATCTGTTTGCTGATGGCGGAGAAGGAAGGCTTGCAGAGGAATTTGAGCGAGGAGTTTAGAGGGACGTGGATGGACAAGAGGTTACCGCCGCTCTCCACCACCAAACACCCCGTAATGCAGATGATGGGAATGCCACCTTTCGGAGGACTTCCACCACCAGGACTGACGTTGGGCGGAGAGACGCCTGTAACTCCAACCGGCGTGAAACCACAAGTGTTGACCCAAGCAGGAACAAGTCAAAACCCTAACCCAGATGGGGAGAAGGAGCCAACGGAGGTCTCTCGACGCGAGGGAAAACAGATACAGGAGGTTCCGGAACAGACACAACCTCGCGTCGAGGAACAGACTCTGACAATGACGAGGAGTGAGATGCAAAAGATGATTACTGAAGCTGTGGCAGCCCAGATGAAGCAGATAGCGCCAGTTGAACAGCAGCCTCGGGTCGAGTGCCCACCTCGAGTCGAGCACCAGCCCCGCGCCGAGTACCCCCCTCGAGTCAAGCAGCAGCCGCGCGGCGAGCAACAAGCCCAGTCGAATGTACAACAGAACAGAAGGGTAGATGAAGAGGAGTCCTCCGTTCGAACTGTTAATCCACAGGCGAGGGACGAGCGTTAGAACAACTGCTGGCACAGGTTCGCGACTTGCAAGCTCGAGTCGACGGGAGGAAGAGTAGAGGAGCAAAAGGACACCCATTCTCACAGCAGATCCTAAGAGCCGACTTACCCAAAGGCTTCAGGGAGTTGAACATATGGTATGACGGTACCACAGATCCATCTCGACATTTGAGGAGCTTTGAAAATATGGCCGTGCTTCATCGTTACAGCGACCCAGTACAATGTCGCGCCTTCCTGACGACTTTGACAGGGTCGGCCCAAGACTGGTTTCATCAACTTCCAGCAGGGTCGATTCGGGATTTCGATGG